AAAAAAAAAAAAAATAGAAACACAAAACTGTATATTAATTATGTGTACAGTTTAAAGGGGAGAGTAACGGAACATTAATGCAATTACATTTTGGTGGTTAAAGGTAGAGGGAGATGGAGAGATAGAGATCACGTGATCCCTATCTCGAGAAGGGTCGGACTTATGTAGATTTTACTCGTTATTAGTATTTACAAAATTCTTTTTGTTTTTACAGAACTCGTCGTTATCTTCAAAATAACCGTTTCGCCATTTTATAATAAGTAATAATATAAAAAGTTTTTTATAGTAAAATCTCGTAACAGATGTCGCCACACAATTTTATTCATTATGATTAATACAGTATAAAAGTTACTTTTTAAATAAAATCCCATAACAGCCGGGAAAGTTACGCAACTTATTGCCGGATTTTTATATTTTGGGAAACGCTATAGGTATATTATTTATTTTACATAAAATTTAAATCAGAAGTATAACTTAATACAGTATACAGTAGAATGTTTAATTAAATACAATTTGGAAACAATGTAATGTATTTATGAGAATTATTCAAAAAGTAACGTTAGTTTTACAAACTCAAAAGTTTTAATAGAAATGTTGTAAAATATAAAATCTCCGTTGATTAATTCAGAGAAAAATTAAAATAAATAGAAATTAATGATACCCTGACTCCTCATAGCTACAGAATTGTTAACTTTCAAAGTGATAAATTACGAACATAGTGTGATAAAAACACCAACTTGAAAAAGTGATGAGCAAAAGAAAATCTAAAATCATACTTGAGAACGGAGAGAAGAAAAATCAGTTTTTCCTTCCCTTGATGATGATGATGATGATGATGATGATGATGGTGATGCTGATGATGGTGGTGGGGATGATGATGATTATGAGACAGTGGGATGGCCGAATGGAGCGAGCAATTCCAGGAATTTTTTAGAGATTGTTTGATATATCCAGAATGGATTTATCAAGCATTCGTCCTTCGTCATCTTGCCTCTTCATTGTGGATGTGGCATAATCCACGACGAATTTGAAAAATAGTCTATAGAACGGAGTGAGACAGACCGAAAAGAAAAGTAAACTGACGGAAATGAAAATAATTCGGATTTGAATTATGAGTTCCAATTTCTCGCGAGTAAAACAGACGAATTAAAAAAACACTGCTCCTTGTTCATTTTTTCGGAACAATTTCGAACAGTTTTCGTTTTTCTAACAATTTAAAAAATAAAAAAATAAAAATAACTGAAATTCCATACAGTTTTAAAAATTCCGAACAGTTAACAACCTCACATAGATACTGGACCAGGTAACCATTCACAAAATATAATACAGTAATAACTAGCAGATGAGCCCGGCGTTGCTCGGACAAAAAGCAACAATAGCAAAGATTAAGATTATTAGATTATAGCCGATCTTACCCGTTTTCACCGAGTGCAAGAATTAGGTACCCCTCTTCCGAGACTAACTTGTAAGTAAAATTTTTTTAAATATCTGCTTACCACACTGGGATAACGATAATTAAGATTTACAGCAACCACTAACCGATGCGTAGTAACACTAAGTGACGAATAACAAACGTTTTCGTAACCTCTTTTGGGTTCTTCAGATTTGCTAAATTCGAAAAATAAGCTGTATCTTCCCGAATCATTCATAAATATAAATCTAAATATATAAAATTACTTGTCCTGACTGACTGACTAAGTCACTGATTGATTCATCATCTCCCAGAGCAAACGGCTGAACCTAAAGAGGTGAAATTTGGTACACAGTTAGGGTACGCCATGAGAATACACACTAAGAAGAGATTTTTCGAAATTTCCCCGCGGGGGGAGAGGGAGAGCATTAATGCTTAACCTGAAAAACGGCTTTTGAAATTGATTCCCATACTTTCCTTTAAATTGATAACATTTCAGACATTGTTATAAATATTTTTATATATTTCGATTTTTTAACCAAATGTTCGAACCGTATTAAATTAGAATTTGTTATTGCGTATTGATTCGATAATAGAACGATTGTAAACGTTCCAGAAAATCGATCAAATTGAAAATAGTTCGTTTGATTCTCAGAAATTCTCATCGTTCTCAGCGATAGGTGTTATATAACAATTACTATGGTTGTTGAAATACTGAATATAAATGGGGTTTGCTTGCAAAACCTCCGCGGGCGAAGTCGCGGGTAACAGCTAGTTCGAACATAAAATCGAACATTAAGATGAAGAGTTCAAATAAATTTAACTTATACGCATGCTTTCTCCGTATCAACTTTATATACGATGGAACACTAAATATCGTTGAGAATTTTTAGAAGGGTCTAAAAATGTGTTATATTTCCCGCATAAATGCAAAAAGACATTTAAAATAGTACGGGAAGAAGGTGCAAGATGGGGCCATGGCGTAAGACGGGGACGTCTGTTTATTCGCGGTTAACGCGCTTTCACCTAGCTGTTATTTGGGGAACTAAATGTCAACCCCAAAAGGGATCATGGGACGAGGGATCGTCCGAATCGCTCTCTTTGTTTGGAAGTAAGACAGTTTTCCAAGTTTTCCATGTTTCGGCAATACTTCATCTAATTTTACGCCCGCTACAAAGTTTCTACAAAGTAAACATCATTGTGAACTTTTACATTACCTTTTAGATGAAGATATTATGGTATTCGAAGTAACCTTTAAGACTGAAATTGTTTAGTTTTGAAATAAAATTGACCCGTGTTCGCAGTCGTGCAGTCAGTATGAAAATTGCACGTTGGGGCAAGATGGGGTACCCCGTCTTGCCCAAGGTTGGCCACGAATTCTGCTGCTGGCTAGAGGCACTGCAATATAGTGCAGCGAACTAGTTTTAAATTCGTTATTATTGATAATTCTATATCATTTTTTCGAATATATAAAATAATAAGTTTAAAAATGATCTTTTATAGAAAATGAAATATTCCATTTTTAAATCATATCTAACTGTAATAAATTTATACAGTATATACTGTATTACGTTATTATTTGTTTTTACGTTTTATTTTATTTGTGAAAATATTTTAAAATTTAAATACTATCTTAACAAGAAATAAAATGTGAGATAACAATCGAAATAAAAATTTTTTTCCACGAAAAAATATCGTCTGCTTACAAAATAACGAAACTGAGCATGCGCGAAGTGACGTTATCGTCTGGTAAAGTAAATACGAGTAAGTTCAAACTTTTATATTTATTTATTCGGAAAATAATAATAAATGTATAAATGGGCGCATTGTTCTTGTGCCAATATTGAAGAAAACGACAGTTTAACCATTTTAATTTGTTTTTCTTGTATATAAAAATAATATTCCCATCTTACCCCACGGGTGGGGCAAGATGGTGCATTTACGTATATTTTTAAAATATTAAATTTTCTTGTTTTTAAAAATGTTTTTCAAAAATTAAATTTTGTATATTACAAAATGTTGTAGTTGTTGAGAATAAAAAAATTATTGTTCTTATTAAAGTGGTTGCCATCTTATGACTTTTCAAACCTTAACGTCCTCATCCTGCCCCACCTTCCCCTGTAGTAGAAGCCGAGTTCTTCGGGATAATCTTTAAAATTCTAAATTATTAGATTTGATTTTTCCAGATATAAATTAACTGGCCAAGGTGTTAAATGTTCTCTTGTATTGCGTATTGCTGTTATAAAACAAAGACAGAAAACTTTTCACAATTAAGAGGTAAGGATGAAAGCATAAAAATGTTACAGAAAAATGTAAAGATACAGTTATAAAAAGTTGCAGAATGGAAGATAGACACTGCTTATTTCCGAATTCGGAATAATTCAGAAAAGAGCTAAAAATTCAATATAGATACTTAGATATGGAACAATTAATTGGTACGAAACAATGGTATTGTACATCAAAAAGAGATGTGATGATCATTAACATATAAACAGTAGAATGATAACGACTCAAGTGATGCAAAAAAAAAAAAAAAATAGCACAGTTATATTAGCATAATGTAAAATCATCAGCATAACATTATATTGAAAGACAAGCATCATGACGTATCAACAAGTATGCGTCTGCAATACTTTGCAGATGCATACTTGTTTTATTTACTACAGGAACAGAATGCTCTGTATTAAATAGACTAAGTGGTGTAAGATATAGACTATAAAATGACAGAGTATACTTTCTAAAGATTGAAGTGATAATGCGATATTTATATATCTTTGTCGTTCCACTTATAATTTCGTATCGTGTTTCAGCGAGATGACTATCTGCCTTCTCAAGACTAAGGAACGGCAGTTTGCCTGGAGTATGCTTAAAAGAACAAAGGCTTCATTTTCTTGCAAAGTATTGTTATCTTCCTGCATTCGAAATAATATCTTGTTTTTCAAAA